ATGGAAGTTGCGAAGGGATCTGTCGGGAAGCTTTTACAATGTTTGCCACAGGAGACAATCAAGTATGCATTCGCTTATGGGTCAGGTGCTTTTAAGCAGACCGGTGATACAACTACAGACAAGATGGTGGACTTCATTGTGGCAACTAATGATCCTGTTAAATTCCACTTGGAAAACATAAAGCAAAATCCAAAACATTACTCATCTGTGCGTTTTTTGGGTGCACATATAGTGTCACAACTACAGCAGAAGTATGCGGCCAGAGTTTATTACAATACTCGTGTGCGTCACAGGGTATATCTTTTGGCTACATTCGCATTCCGTGTTATAATAGTGTTTCACTAAATTAAAGGTTTTGACACTTTGTTTCAGGAACGTTTAATTAAATACGGTGTGGTAACCATTGATGATCTTCAACATGATCTACTTGATTGGAAATGGTTATTCCTAGCTGGACGCCTTCATAAGCCTGTACTAAATATTGTTGAACCGGCTAGAAACATTGCCTATGCAATACAGGAAAATTACAAAAGCGCTTTGCAGGTAAGTATCTTGGGCAACTGCTTGCCATTTTGACAGAACTGCGGCAGTTACAGAGACTTTGTTTAATTTCAAAGTGTGCTGCAAAATGAAAAACAAATACTTTGTATTTGTGACTGATACTTGAGTAAGTTTAACTGCAATGCATTGGTGAAAGAAGTGAGAGCATCCAAAGCTACGAGTATTTTCGTCGACCATCTAAACGTGCTAACAACCATAAAAATTAAATTTCCAGGCTGCTCTTTTGCTGCTTCCAGAATCATTTAATATCAGTCAGTTTTTGTACCAAATTGTTGCTTTATCCTACAATGGCGATTTCCGCATGCTTTTTGGAGAAGACAAAAATAAAATCAAAAAGATTGCTGAGGGGAGCGCAGAAGAGTTGCAGGCAATCTATATGCCCTTGCTTGAATCAGACAGTAGAATTCTTGTTCGAGGATCCTTGATTGAACAGGTGTTTTTATAACTTTCTTTTTCGTCATCATAAAGTGTTTAGTTTTTTCTACTTAAAAACAAAAAGTAATCCGTATTCAGGACTTAAGCAGTGCAGCGGTATATCACCGTCTGCAGCTTTTACCAAGCGCAGTCTTGGAGAAGATACAGAAAACTTATCATCAGCGGGACGCTAAACAACGCGATATTGGTAATTTTTCTTTTGAGTTATAATTCTCTCAGCAAGTACAAAGTGGATTTTGCTTAGTTGTTTGTCTGTTCTTGCAGAAGAGGTAACATTTTCCTTGGCCAATCATATTGATGCACCTCAGCAGGTTGCTGCTGCATTAGAATCTATCGTATCATCTGCAGCCTGGTCACAAACCCTTAAAAACATTGTTACTGCTGGATTTGCTCGTTCAGTAGTATACTCTTATGCAAAACTGAAGAAAATGTTTCGCTCTTACTGAATGCGAACACGTGTGATGTATTACTCTAAAAAAAATGGTAGGACTTTTTAAATATGAGTAGGATTTAAATTTTTAAATAAATATTTTTAAATATAATAAATTTTTTAATATTTTAAAATATTCTCGGTTAATTAGGTTAATGATCAGATGCATTTTGTCATGTGTGCAATTCAGGTTCTCTTGACAAATCCAGGATTGCAATTACAAGTTAAACACGATTTCTCCATGACGAATGATTAAGCTCGACTAAGGGAGTTTGAATGATTTTCTTGAGTGTTGTTGATGTTCCATTCATGGTTACTTGTCTTATACTTCCTTAAACTGTAAACGAATAAGGCACAGTTTGAAAAGTCTGCAATTATTCACTAAGTTGGTATATAAATAGTGGTCAATTTTTACTTTTTAATTTAACTTTATAATTTTATTTCGGTTAAAAATTTTTACTTGAGATAAGAATTAGAAGAGCTAACGTAGCGCTACCAAAGTTGCAGCAGGAAAACAGCTTCGACATCTTATTAACGCAAGGACTCATGAATCCAGTGATCAGAAAAGTGCTTTAAAGGTTTTGTTCGCTCTTAGTCATGCGGTTGCTTTCCACGGACGAGTAGCTTATTTTTTGAAAAAAATGACACTCAGTAGGGTGAAAATTTGAGTAGAAGCTTAGATGCAGTAGGACTTCATATCCGATCTTTTCGAAATAATTACTGTTCCATTTCACTCTTCATCATTGCAGACAGGTACCAAGTGATTTTTTGATATAAAACTTCTGTTTTTGGAGTCATGCTCTGCATAGTTTCTCCTGAACTATTAGCAGGATTAGCTTTTAAATTGTGTTCCTCAAAGTGAAATGGGTTGTGGGAAAGAAGGTTTCTTTCAATGATTTCTCTCCGTTTGCAAAAGCCATAAAGTGTTTTCTCTACAGTCGATCTTTTCACAGAAGACGCTCTGAATGGTCTACTTAATGTTGCGTTGGCTGCTGCCGTTGCTTTCTAGTTAATCACGAGGGGTGGAGGGTACATGTTGGAGAGTTACGTTTTTACATTCCAAATTTAAAATGGGTTGAAAACGAGTTTGAAAGTAAAAATACGAAGCAGGAACGCAGCGAGAAGAAAAATTAATTTTCCATAGATGTATTACAAGTCACTTTTTAAGGTGAATTCCTGACTTAGACAGGTTTGAAGAATAAAATAAATGTGTTAGTCATTTCTTATGGGGTAAAAAAAATAGTGTGCGATGACTCATGATTTTGAAAACAGCTCAGCCTGCAGTGGCATTTGTTGCAACTTCACTGTTAAAAACGGATATTCTTAAAGGATGGATTTTGACGGTCCATTTGTTCCCTCATTTTATCACCGCTACAAAAACGGTTAAGATAACGAAATAGGTTACTCACTTGACGAGTTGTATGGCAGTTTTGGCTGCAGTTTTTTGAGCATTTTTGATACACTTTCTAATCAAATTTAAAGTAACTATAAGGCAGTACAAACTACTGTTATATTAGAAAGACGAGTAAAGTTTTGTCTGTATAAGGACTTGATCTAAAAACTGTGAAATCTGATAAAAGATTTGGGATCAGATTTACCCGAAATAACACTGCATGGTAAAGAAGCTGTTTATTGAGGGCAGTAGAGCAACTAAAGTAGCAGTTGTTTTTAGTGAATCTTTTATAGTTGTGACTGTAATTCTGAGTCTTTTTTCATTTCGTTTTGCATTTGACCTTGAACCTACTTTATTTTGATCAGTGCCGGTTACAGCCACCTTTGACTTTACTTCTAAACACACCTTTATCACCAGCGAAGTTACGGTGAGAAAATAATAAAGTTAGCGACTTATTCATGTTACATTATTTTTGTAAATTCAATATAAAGCATCGTTTGAGGTTATAATATGAAACGCCTAGAGCGCTAAAAATTTCTGTATAGATTTTTTGACAAATAATCAGATAATTAACTAGACGATGGATATAAGACGCTTGTGAACCATTTGCAAGCGACAATCAAGTTAATTTTTTGACAGCGAAAGAGACTTAAAGATTTAAAAGAGCTCACTGAGTGCTCCTTTCCAGTGATATTTTTTGAGGAACAACTAATGTTCTTTTTTCGTGTACTAAATTTTCATCAAGCACTCCACATTTGGTTTTAATTTTTTGTTGGTCTTGGTGCTTTCAAAAGAATACTATGGAAAGGCGATACACTCTTTTGGTAAACGAAGTCTGCATGCAAGTCTCTCTTTTTCTTTTTTTCCGTGGTATTTTTTAATGGGAGTTCAGGTTTGTTACCACTTTACACACACTAATTTAGAGCTGATCTAGTGTTTATAGTCGCTCGATGTAAAAGAAGTGAACACTAGACAGCATAACGGAGCATTTTGATAAAGGCCGAATTTCTTCTTCTAGTATGGGTAAGTTTTAGTGCCTTGTTGAGATCAAGTATTGAGCGAGTCTATGTTCTAATTTGGTATTTTTTTCTTTTCACTGGTGTTTGAGGTGTGGTAAAAATTAGTATTAGACTCATTCTAATTCTTGTCTGTTATAGCTTGCGGGAAATTTTTAAATATTCCAGACGCATGTCTGCCGTGCAAACGGCCTTTATATAGTTTTTTGATCGTGTCAAAAGAATCAAGATCAAAGATCAAGAAAGAGGACAAATTCAAGTGGAAGTTTTAATCAAGAAAAAACCTTTTTAAATAATCGGTTTTGCACTGGTTATATTTGAAGTGCATCAAAAATAGTTACGGTTAAGCGGTGAAAAGTAAAATGAAAAAGAAAAAAGTTCAAGGGTAAGGTATTTTTATAAATACCAGCAGAGGGTCTGAAAAATTCAATTTATTTGCCAGTTTTTTAGGTATTTCAAATCAAAGCAGTATGTGTTGGGGGTGTAAGTCGCGAAAATAAAAAGTATGAGCAAACTAATAGGAACTCTGAACGGAGAGCGAAGTCAAGTTGATGAGGATGTTAATTAATGGATTTTCACTTTCTTTTCCGATTGTATCGTTTTCAATCTGCTTATCAATCAAGATTTAAGCTACAAAATTCTTCGGAAAATTCTAATTTTTCAAAAGTTTATCAGGGTAATTTTTCTAAATCTTACTGCATGAAGTGGCAGGAAATTCTGTGTAAAGTGCCATTTAAGCACTTGAAGTACTGTCACGAGAATTTCAGAAAACAGCGAGGCTGTACTGTTGATTTTCTGATTATAAATGCAAGTTAATAAACCAGTACAAAGGCAGTGCCACCAAAGCTCATATTGATATGTTAATTAAAAGCGGTTCTTTGGGCAAATAGAGTTATGAAACTTATAATTTAATGGCGGCGCGTAGTCCTTAACTTTCAAGTTATTTGCGTATAACTTGGAAACTAAGGATTACGAGTTCTGGACCTTTGAATACTTTATATGGTAGGTAACTGGACGAAAAGTCCAAAGTACTGCTGTTTTGAGCTCATTGGCTTGATTCTGGGAAAGTCACGCCTAATTTCCCACAGCAAGTTGCCAGTGATGGAAACTTCACACTTTAAGTCACTTTTCTGTTCATTAAAACTCCACTTAAGTGGGTCCGGACTACTCCAAGATTTTGAAAGACATTTACGTGGTTATTTAACTTGGACGTCCATATTTATCTTATAGGAGTATTTTTTCAATCTTGTATAAAATAGATTCTAAAAAGTTTTCAACTGTTGATTTTTCCTTTCAGGACTGTCACTTTATACGAGTTCCAGAGTAACTGGTGGTATTAAATCTACAACTTTTTGTCTTGCTTCTAACATCGAAAAACTGGGAACGCTCATATTATATTAATCTCAGAACTTTGGGGATCAATTTGGAAATACAGAAGTACATGGTCAGAGCAAACGCCCTTCATATGGAGAGCACAACCCTTCATCTGGTGCGGTGGTAGTTGGTTCAAAGA